GTCTGTCATTGAGATCCATGTGTGTAAAGCAGTTTTGTACTAGGATTTGCTTCTGTATTTCTAAAATGTTTTTTTTTTGAGGTTTAAAATGCCCATTTATTGTACCACTTCACACCTAACCCTTTACAAATCCTTCTTCACACTTCCAGTTTCTTACTTTACAATTCTAAAATGTTCTTAATGAAGAATTTCATTTCTCAGGAACTTCTTAATCATATAAAATTCATCAGATAATTAGATAAAATTATTCATGGTTCAAAGCTCATCTAAAGCCTGATGCCTTTCTTGACTCCCTCTCAAGATATTCCTTCTTCCACTGAAATGTCATAGTTATATTTGTAGTTGTGGAGCTTAAGGAACTTATTTTATTCTACTTTACAATACAGTGACTTGGTGAATTTTCTAATTTTCCATGAATAGATTGAGAATTCCTACATCTGGAAGTCAGAGTCACTGAGTCTTACATATCTTTATATTCTCCCTACCCTCCCATGTGTAACACAATTCCTTAAAAATAGTAAGGCGATCTGATATTTATCTGAATTCACCAAAAATCTATTTTGGTATACTAAAAGCTACCTTTTCCAAAGGGTCCTTAGAAAAGCAAGTATGTTTTGGCAACTACATATGGTATTTTTAAGCTTTATGGAATCTATACCAATTTACCGACTCTGTTATCATTATAAATAATATTTAAACACTTCTTGTATAGTCATTAAAAATTAAAATAATGAGAATCTTTCTTGTTAGTACAATAGTTACAATTTCTTAATCAGATGTATACATTTTTAAAAATGTTACAAAACTTTTCCTTGCTAATAGAGTGCCAAAAGTAATGTAAATTAACAGATTTTTTTCAATGAGTAACTCCGAAGAAATGTAAGAAAATCCTTTTTTACAGTGAGAAGAGATAGAACTATGTGTTTATAATGTAAAGTATAAAACAGAATTTAATGAATATAAGTGGATCCCTTATTTATTCATTGATCTATCCAGAAATCATTGACAGGGAATTTACACCACATCACATGTGTCCAACAGTGTGATAGTTGCTGAGGCCATAAAGCTAATTAAGCTAATTAAGTTCCTGCCTTCCAGGAACTCAAACTATAGTGAAGTCAAAAAAGACAGCATAAGTATTAAGAGGACATTGGGGTTATCTGTGGCTGGGAAAGCAGAGATAAAGGTTCACAAAGGAAGGGTTTGAACAGGGAGTTTAAGCTTTATTATGCAGGTTTCAAGGAATTTTTTGAGTATGGAAGTAACAAAACCTGCTGTCCTTTTTTAGAAAGAGATTTGGGAAAGAAACTGCTCATCTAATAATAGTCTAGTGAACAGATGAAGACCTAGTTGGGGTAGGAGAAACCAGATTTGGAAGGTATTTGGTAGGCAGAATCAAGAGGAATTGATGATAGATTTGATGAGGAGGTAAGAAGAATGTGTCAAGATGACATTTAGGTCTTTAACCTGGCAGATGGATGATGACATTAAATGAAATCTAGATTATCAGTTAACAAGTATTTATTGAGCACCTCCTATGTACCAGACACTATTCTAGGCATACAAAGTCTGTTTTCGTTCTAGTCGAGGGAGGCAGATGGTAAACAAATGAATAATCTGAGATAGTGATAAATGTGATGGAGAAAATAAAACACGGTTATGTGATAGTGACTGGGGCACTTTAGCTGAGGTAGTCATGACCAGTGGCACTTGAATGGTAAGGAAGGAGCCAAGTGAAACTCTGGTTAAAAAAAAAAGGGCTACCAAATACAAAGGCTGAGATGGGAAAGAGCTTAACATCATCAAGGGACATGGGACTGGGGATGGAGGTAATTGGGGTAAATCAGGGTAATTGGGGTATCCGTCACCTCAGGCATTTATCATTTCTTTGTGTTAGGAACATCACGATTCTACCCTTTTAGTTATTTTAAAGTATACCCTAACTTATTGTTGACTGTAGTCACTTCGTTGTGTTGCCTGAGTCTTTTTTGCTCATCAGTGAGCGCTCTGATAGCAAACACCGTTGTCCCATTGCCCAGGAGCTATGCAGATAGAAGGCGCTTTTGAAATATCTGTTATAGCGTAAGTATATACATCCAGCCTTAATAATTAACAAATTGTTTGTATTAATGGAGAGACTAGAAAGTAGCACAATAATGAGCTAGTTTCAAATCTCTAGGGATCATAATCTTAAAAGTTTCCGTAAGAATTAATCTTGGAATTCTATCAGTGAATCAACTTTGTGAAAAATAATCAAGTTCTGCAGACATTTCCAATAAATCACATAACTGTTGTGGTCTGAGTATTGTATCGTCCCCCAAAATTCCTGTGTTGAAACCTAATCCCCCAGATGATTGTTTTAGGGGTTGAGGACCTTTGGGAGCGTGATTAGGTCATGAGGGTGGAGCCCTCATTAATGGGATTAGTGGCCTTATAAGGGGCTGAAGAAACCAGAATTCTCCCTTTACCATGTGAATGAAGACAAAGTGAGAAGGCATCATCTATGAACCAAATTGTGGGCCCTCACCAGATACCAAATCTGCCAGTGCCTTCATCCTGAGCTTTCCAGCCTCCAGAACTAAATAAAAAGATTCCTGCTGTTCATAAGCTACCCAGTTTATGGCATTTAGTTACAGTAGCCAAACAGACCAAGACGATTACTAAGCAGTTAAACTCAAGTAATCACGGATGATTTCTGAACCATCCTGGTAGTTATTTACCAAATCCCAAATACATAAACCTTATTTCCTATCAGAGATGCTACACATGGTCAGCATTATTAGTTGAATAATTTCTTCAACTAAATGCTTGAATAAATGAAAGAGAGCAAGCTGCTTCGATGCATAAGCTGAACATTTTTCTTTGTCCTTGTATCTGTTACTTTCACCACGATATATTTGGCTCCTTGCACAGTGACTTGCATATGGTCAGTGTCTAATAAATATTTATTGCATGCATGAGTGAAAGAATGAACACAAAATTTTATAAGAAAGATAATTCTTTTCTTCCTCCTCCTGAATTTACTTCCTATATCACATCTTTAACTAAGTTTTTTCCTTGATTGTAAAATATTTGCTCACTGTGAAAAATATGAATATAAAAAATAAAAATCTCTCTTCGTAAAATAAATATAACTATTTATAACTCGCGATTGCATTAAATTATTCATTTAACAAATTTTTTTTGATTGTCTACTCTGCGCTAAGCGTTGGGGATATTATGGTGAATCAAACTGGCCAGATCCCTGTCCTGGTTGTAGCAATACCCTCCTGTGCTACAAGCAGAGTATAGGCAGTGGTGTATCACCATGGAAGAAGTTTCAAAATTCATAGATACCCTCTCCACCCTAACAGTTAACATTCCTCTTGTGTCTTAAAGATGATTATGTCAGTGACTAAATACCATATATTTCTACATATACTAACAGTATATATATTATTTATATTAAATTAAATAATTATTATTAAAAGTATTCTAACTACATTTTAAGTACCCTCAAAGAGCAAATAGTTTTCTCATATGAAAAAGAACAAGCATCACAAATAGCCTAGTCTTTCTTCAGAACATTTTCAAAGACTGTACTTTAATGCTGGAAATAAATAGTAAGGCAATATAGCTCTGAATGGGTTATTGTCAAACCTTTCTATATAGGTTTATATACCATCTATTTACTCAAATGTATTAGAAAATAATCACTTAACTAAAATAGTTTAAATATTTTAACTTAAGGGCTCAATTCCTCTTTTATTAACAGAAAGCTTCCATTTCCAGCAGTAGGAAAAGCTTAGTCACTCTCTGTACCATGATCCACTAACTTTCAGCAGATCACCTATTCTTCATATCTAGGCCCCTGTCTGCATATCGAGAGAAGTTATTATTCATCCTCAGAGAATATGTAATCATAGTACCTTGTTCAGTTTTACCCCAAAAGGACTCTTAATGGTATTTCACTTACCTCCAGTGGTTGGTTGCCTTCAACTTCTGGAGTTTTACCTCTTGCTGACATTCTTTGCTCATTTGATGTATCTCCTATGAGGCAAAAAAAAAAAAAAAAAACAGAAAAATTTTACCATACTATTGAGGCCAAACTGTCTTCTATTTGTTTGAAATATCTTTTGTTATTATATGTTTCACATCATGAAAGCAACCACTATTTCCTTTGTTGTAAAGTAAACAATTTTTAAGAACAGTAATTTATACAGGTCTCATAAATCATCCATAAATACATATACATACAACCTAAACCAGAAACATATCCTGTTTTATATAGATTTATTCTGGAAAAATCAAATAAATTCATATTTTGTAAATCAAGTCACATTCCAAATAAACTAAGAAAGCTTATGACTTAACATAAGGCAAATTAATTGATATAAAAACTCTTTATAATATGAATATCTTCCAAATTAGTTTTTCTTAGGGTTTATTCTTTATAAGTTTATTTGTGTGTCTGTGGATTTGCCTTGCAGTAGATGTAGATGTTTCTATGTAACAACTAACCAAATGTAAGACAATCATTACAGCAGGAAAGAACAATGAACAAATGAATAAGTTAGCCTTCAGTTAACACTTTTATTCCTAAGACTAGGCCCGGGTGGGCTATATTGCTAAATGAGTTGGTGACTAGGCTAGCTCAAAGGATATAGGACAGACACAAACATAGTTGGGTAAGTATAAGCATAGTTTAATTTATTAATGGCCTATTTTATTAATTATCACTAATGGACCACGATTAACACGATAGGTAGAGACTACCAATTAGCCTACTTCTCTGAAGTATAATCAGAGGTGAATTTAGCAATTTGTAAATTGCTCTTCCTATAAAATTAAGCCATTTTAGTAGTATCCACACCAGGGAAGATTACCAAATTCACAGATGATGATTGGCTGACACTAAAGGTTAGGAATTTGTTAATATAAAAAAGGTCATGAGTCTTGATGGGAAATAAAGCATGAAAATCTTGGCTGAGCTTAACTTTTCCATATAAAACACAAAAGTTAAGTTTACCAAAGCCTATAATCAAGAAAGAGCCTCATGAAAATTTGAAGGGATTAAATACAATCCTTTTTTTCTAAAATCAAGAAGCAAGAACTAAATTGGTAGTTTATTTACTTAAGGTAAATTAACTCTCCGAAATGTTTAAAACCCAAGAACTTCAGTGAGCATTCCAGCCTTTCAGCTTTGTCCTCAGTTTTGTGCAACATTATTGTTGGGCAGGCCCAGTATACAAAAGGTTTTCAGTAAACATTGGTTGAATCAATCAGTGGACTTCTCTTTGTAGTTTCCTATCTATTAATATAAAACTGTCACAAAATAAGACTTAATGGTATATAATAAAAACTATATTGGAGCATACAGCAGTGCCTTCCATCTAAAACATATTCAGCATGTGCCTATAGTCTCAGCTGCTCGGGAGGCTGAAGTGGGATCGTCTTCCAAGCTCAGGAGTTTGAGGCTGTGGTGAGCTATGATGGTGCCTCTGCACTCCAGCCTGCATGACAGATCAAGACCCTGTCTCAACCAATCAATTAAATTATTTTATAAAGGCAAATTTATTAAATATCACTTTGATTTTTTAAAAATCATATTGAAACAAAGGCACTAGGAACTTTTGGGTTATATCTTTAGAATAATAAAGTTAATCACTGTTAAGTAAAAAATTAAATCCACCTAGTCTCGTGACCTAGGATGTCCAACAACTATTTTGATTGATGTTTAAAGAGATCATTTACACCGGCCGTTTACCAGCACATCATGAAGAGTATTATTATCAGAAATCCCTTCTTTCTGAAATTTAGGGATAAGAGAAGCCCAAAATTATAGGTGGAGAAACCAATGCACAAGGAGTTTAGTTCACAAGGAGTATAGTTATAGTTATGAGACCACAACAACATGACTAGCCAAAGCAATACAAATCTCTGTACAATGAAGTCAAGACTGTGTTTAACAATGCACATGCATGATGTTTATAAGAAAATATGCATAATCTACTATAAAAGGTAATTTACTCTAAGAAAGATTATTTATCTTTTAAAATGATTACTGTTTCATCCCCAGCCACACAAACACTATATTTGGCTAAAATCACCCAGCAAAGTCTGTGCTTCCTTTGCCATTTTCGGATTTCACGGTGTGTATCTATACAAAACTTTCTCCATTTCTCCCTACTGCTTAAAAAACTAGGGTATCAGCCTGTATTCTTGACTTCGTACAACATATCTGCCTGGAAGCAATTGTGGAATCACTATTTACTGAAATGTCATGTCTGGTGATGACTCAGATAGGACAATAACTGATTACAAGGAAAATCGCCATCTGCAAGATTATCTCTCTATAAACAAAGGCACAAAATGAAAGCTAGACAACAAACAGAAAAGAATAGGTCACAATGAAACAACTTTTGAAGTTTTCTCCCATTTAAAAATTATTTTATCATGGTAAAAATTCAGTTATTGTCTATATTTTCTATGATCTACATAAAAGTTAGATACATTAACAATAAATAAAAACAGATGTGAGAAACGTGAAATAAGGTACTTGGGTTTTCAAATTCAGTTAACTTACAGATTGGCTAGATTAAAAAATTCCATTTGCAAGTCAACCATTCAAACAGAAGAACAAAAAACCCCAACATTTTCACAATAATGTACCTTTAATAAAGACTTTTTAAAAACATCATATCTGATTGCTGTTGGACAGCACAGTAAGATAATCCCCCCCACTCCGCATCCCTAGTTTACAGGTGAGCAAACCCTGAAGGGTAGAGGCACTCAGTGAACTGCTCAGGGTCTCCCAGGTAGAAGCAGTCACATGGGAGCAGAACCTGGTCTCCTGACATCATCTCTGTGGACTCTGTGGTCTGGTGGAAGCTTCCAGTGGATGAGGGATGAGGTGGGAACAATTAAGAGCTAGGAAACAGGGTGTGAAAAGAAGAGTCAAGGGATTGGAAAGGAAGCTCTGATGGCAAGATCTTGTATTGGTCCAGGCCCTGCCCCCCTACCCCTAGACACTTCTTTCTCCTCCTTTTTGCTTCCATAAGCCCCACAGATTATCTGTTTTCTTCCCTTTCCAATGGTGACACCGAATACCTCTGACTAGAGCATGCCTCTGTCCTTCCTTCTGACCCTTTAAAGCAGATACACAGTTCCTTTGATATTTGTCCAGAAGTTTGTAAGGCTAGAAACAATTTTATAAAAGACAAAAACTCCTCTTATACCACCACAACCATTTATTTAGAGTGAGTAAATGATAAAGATTACATATACATACTAATGAAACTCTTCCAGAACTTAAAAGCCTGAAGTGAAACTCATCTATATTTTAGATAAGGGATTGGCAAATTTTTTTCTGTAAAGGACCAGATAGTAAACATTTTAGACTTTGCAGGCCATATGGTCCCTGTCACAACTTCACAACTCTACCATTGTATTCACAAGCAGCCACAGAAAATATGTGAACTAATGAGTGTGGCTGTGTTCCAATAAAATTTTATTTACAAAAACAGGTGGCAGGCTGTAGTTTCCCAATCCCTGTTTTAGAAGAATGCATGCATCCCACCTTTTCTAGGATAAACAGTTGAATGTTGTTTGAGCAACATAAGGAGATGAGAAAGGGATAGTCGTTAAAGTATCATCATGACCCCATTCTACTGGGTGAAGATGGGTTGAGGAGAGGAGAAATGGTGGTGAAGAGTGAGTACCAGACATAGGGGAAGGCGGAAAGGAGGGAAACTCCCAGGGATGGGAGAGGAACCAAATGCCTAGCTGGCTCACCCAGACAAGGCTTGTCTGAAGGGGCTGGTGGTGGGTGGGTAAGGGAGCAGACACTTGCTTCCCACTCCTTATGCCTTCTCCATGTGGAGAGGGTTCTATTACCATTCACCCCAGGCCTCCCTCCACGTTCACGTCTATTGGTTGGTGAGTTTGGGAAGACTCGGTGGCACATGGTTCTGTCCCTTCTTTTGAGAATGGAAGGACCACAGATGGCATGTTGCTGTCTGGTCTGATCCTCTGCAGAGACCTCCTCCCACTTGGGGAAGCTTGGCCAGTCCAGCATATCCTATAACTGAATGAACTCAATCTAATTCTGGGATTCAGATTAGGAAACCTGTTTGCTCCCTGTTACAAGCCACAGTCTTCAACACCAGCTTTACAGGCAATAAAGATGAGAATTTGGTCTCCATCTGTTCCTTTTTTTCCCCCCTCAATTGGCCAGATCTCATCTCAGGAAGAGGGCTGTTATTTTTGGCACACCCTTGAGCCCAACAGGACTGGAAATGGGCTGGTGTGGACTGGGTTGGAGCCTACCTGCACACAAAAAGCTGTGAACACAGAAAACTGTTTTCTTTTTCTCTTCTTTAATTAGAGAGGATTTATCTAGGACTCCGTACCTGAGAATGCAATCTACAAAACACTGGTTCCAAGGGGTTCACATGGAAAATATATTTCTATGGTCAAAAGTATGAGAAAAACATGCAGAGTGTGAGTTCTCTTCCAGCTGTTTTTCAATGCACTTTAGCTTCTGAGAAATTCTGCAGTAAACAAACGTTCTAATTTTTTTCACTACGTATTTGACTACGGAGCCATCGTATTCACCTGACACTTATTAGACATCCTGCAGAGGTCCATTAACACACCATGGGAAGTGCTGATATAACATTTTTGAAGTTAAAATTGATTATAAAATATACTATTTTTACCGGACTCTTCGGAAGACCCTCAATATGACCAAATTTATTCACTTTTGAACATCCATTTTACATAATGCTAATCCACACTATTTTCCTTTCCATGATTTTCTTCATGACTCCTGGTTAATTCGTGACTCCCTGTTAATGCATGTAGGGCAGACTAGCAGTACGTGACTGCATTCTACTACATAATTCTGATTCCAGAATAGTTGATAATCGACGAGGGAGAAAAGGATAGCTGGGCACCTTGAAGACACAGGAGAAAGCCCCAGTACTTAAAAATATCTTCCCCACAAATTCCACCAATTAGAGATTCATTAGGGTTAATGAGCTCCTCTT